ATGAAGAAAAAGATTTTCAAGTTAAATTTTAAATCACTATGGATCATCGACAGGCATTTACAGTGGTCTGTGGCTGAAATCAAGTAAAATAAACCAAAACCAATGGGTTTTCCACACCTTTAATTAATGTCTACATCTTTTACAAGCCAGTATAAAAAAACATTCTTAATCTTAGAATCACCAATTGTATTTCAGCCACTGTACACAATTGCCATCACCAATTTAATTTGTGTGCATCCTTCTTGACAAATGCATCTTTTTTTTCATTTTTGAATTGTCTTCTCAAGTTTTTCAAATTCTTGGCCATAGCGCCTGTTACTGACCTTTAATTGCATTTTTCTATTAGTGTCTGATTAGTCAGTTTAGAAAATCCTTAATGGGTACAGTTACAGGGACTCATCCATGTGCAATCATTTCTCAAGGTAACCTTCCTATCCACCTTAGTCTTAATGTCAGCTGACAAATGATTTTACTTTGCCAAGTCCATATTTATGCAAAGGCTTGTCAGAATGGAAAAATAATGATCGTTTAATTAGATTAGACGTATATTTATTTTAGGCAAAAAATGGAGGCCAAGTTAATCATAACAGTCTACAACATCTCTTGGTTTCTCCCTCTCTTGGGGACTATTAAGTGAAATTGTCATAGAACCCCAGTAAAAGTCAACTATGAGCCTTAAGAGGTCAGCCATGTTAATTCAAAAGTGGTAGCCTGCTTCATACGCCTCCTGGTGGTAGCATGGAAGTGTAGACTTACTGTCCTTCCTTTGTAAGTAATGAATAATTGTTTTAACCCATCTGCTGCTTTCTACAGTAGCTAGGTGAACTAAGTCCTTTATTTCTGACATATTAGCACTTACTGCTAATTGTACCATTGTACCTGTAGGTAAAGTTTGGCCCGCTTTGGGTTAAACTCCTTGCACAAGGGTCTCCTTCTTTCATTCCACAAAGGACCACAGAAATCTCCCAAAGCCTCAAATTTAGAATAGCTTTTATTCAAGATAATGTCACATTTAGAAAATGTAATATTGCTGACCATTACCAAGTTTCAGATACAGGTTTCAGTTTGCTATCTATGTGTTTATCTCCAGTTTACCTCCAGTCTTGCAGCAGCTGAATTCAGACATTCAGATGCATCCAAATATCCGGATTCCAATGTGTCCGAATGCATACAAAGTTCGACATTTCGTAAAAAGAACGTCTGATCATCTGAATTTTGTTAAAAATGAAACTAAATTGGAAACGTGAATGTTTTCTGGCCAATCATAAAACCCTATTTGAAACTAAAACGAAAAATCGAAAGATCCGAATAACAAAACAAAAGTGTTTTCGGACTCGAAAGAGCAAATGATCCGAAACAAAATGAAAAAAAAAACAAATTTTGTTGCCGCTTTACATCTCTAGTTACCATTGGTTTGTGGCAAAACCCTGGGATTACAAAGTTTGTGAATCAAGAACTTTTGTTTGAAAAGTTTGCAGTTCACTCTCAGAAATAAGAAACAACCTATAATGTAGTGCATAGCCTTTACCTCTAATCATTTACAAGAGTCAATAATTTGAAAAAATAGATAACCCAGACCCTTTTATATAAAAGGGTGGGGTCGATGAAGCCATATTGACAGTGGGTGTTGGAGATATTAGACCCTGTTCACACCTAGGCATTTTGTAGCTCGAAGCTACAAAACACTCAACACAAGGAATCCCATTGTTTTACTGTATATTGTCCCTATTCACAACTGAGCATTCTACCACTCGTAGCAAAATGCCTGTAGCTTTAAAATGGACATGAGCTTCTTTTCAAGCAGATTTAAGCATTTTTGCCCTATAGACTTCAATAGAAATGCCTTAAAATGTGCTTCATAGGTGCTTTTGAGAGTTTTTTTTTTAGTATTTTTCACTTTTGCATGATCTCATAGAAGCTACTGCTTTCCATTGAGCCAGATAGATAAATGCCTGATGCTGAGGACCTGCAAAACGTTTAAAAAAAAATTCATAAATGCGCATAAACAGGCTCAGAAATGCTTTAAAAAATTGGCTGGAGATGACAGTGCCTAGGTGTGAATTGGCCCTTAGGGAGAGCTGACAATTCTGTGCAGGGAGAGGTATTTAAAAATGTTTATTTTTTAATTTTTGCTATGGTACATCACCTTTATGTCAGTCCCTAGCTCTACATTCCTTTTGTTTGACAATAGCTTGCTTATTAGCATTACAAATGACAACAATTAAATAACAAGACTCCCCCATGGAAGGGAAGATGAGTAACCCAGAAAGATTTGGTCATCCCTACTGACCACATTTAGTGGAGGTTGTTTGGAAATGGGAGATGGGCAATTTATTTATCCCACTAAAGAGTTCATCTCTTATCCTTCAGCAGTTTCCTCCAGTGGTTCCTGGGAACAGCTGTAGTTCTCAGGAGAACAAAACAGACTGCTAGCAGATTGCATACATAAGTGGTATTTGTTGCTGGCAAAGGAGCTACACCTTTCAGCTGTGGTATTTTTATAAACTGCAGGGATTAAACATCAGGTATAAGGGCCCATTCACACCACCTCCAGATCACCTCCAGACCAGACCAGACCAGATTGTTTCTGAACCTAAAATGCATCCCAATGTTTCCCTATGATCTTCTTGGCCTCAGTTCACACCATTGCAGTCAGTTCCAGACCAGAAAAATACTGCTTGTCACATTTTGTCTGGTCTGGAATGCACCGGAACGCGCACAAACACATCAAAAATGCATTACAATGCACCGGAACGCAACAGGACGCACAGGAACGCAGCGCAATGTGAAAAATCCCTTTTTTGGGGGGCTGGTTTGGATAATCGTATCACCTCTGGTCTTCCTGCTTCTGTGGAAAGAAAGATTGGACACCAAATTTTGTGTAGAACTTGTGGAAGCCTGCTAGAGCTGTATGATCCGAGGCATGGGTAATATAAGAACAATAATAGGAAGATGGACAAGTGGAATGCATTGCTGCCCAGATTGTCCCTGGTTATGATCATTTGAGCAGCTCTGAAAAGAACTGTGGTAATTTCATGTCTCTTATGTGCAAGCCTTGTGCTGCTCTTTTCCTGGCTATCTGTAGGTGTTGCAGAGGTCCCCCAGCAAGACCTGAGATTGAACGCGTCAAAAACACGGCACAATGCAACGCAGTGCATTCCAGATCTGGTCCAGAAAATGGTGTGAACCTGCCCTTACATCAGCTTTGTTTATGTGTCAGCTGTATCCTAATTGTATATTTAATTAGTGTAGATTGCCCATTGAGCAGTCAGGTGACACTAATAGGAAATAGTGGTGTCACCTGCCTAACCATGCAGTGTGCCACAGGAATGGCTACAGAGAACAACATAATGCTTTGTCAAGCAAAGCAAAGCGATACTGTTTGTTGGGTGTTCTTCTGCAATGGTAAGTGGGCCAATGGTCAGGGGTAAATAAAATAATTGTATTCATACAAGGAAAATTTCTCTAAGAAGATTATAGTAACTATGGGAATTTCTGTTGATTTAGAGGAAAACATTTTTGGTTGCATTAAATTTGCCCTAATAGAGAAATATTATGTGCTTACATGGTTATTGTGGCCATTAGTAAACATCAGACTGGACCACCAAATCTTTTTCTTTCTACCACTGCCTGTGCTTTTTTTTTTATCTTGGAACCAGTTGATGATTAAAATAATAACATGACACTTTCTGCTAGCAACAAGCGACCCCGCTAAGCTTCTAAGATGACTTTGTAAAATGGGTTTTCCGTCAGCCCCCAAGATCACTTTGTAGCGTGTATGCAATCTTTTGTAATAAAAGAATACAAGTGCCATTCAGAATATTGTATCTATTTTTGCTGCTCTCACTATGTTCTTACCAGAGGTCCATAAAGAACATCTTTTTATTTTGGGAGAAAGAATAAAATATATGGCGGGTCTATTGTACCAGTGCTGACTTGTATGAAAATAATTGAATCATTATTTATATCATCAAATGCCAAATATGATTCTGAAAAAAAGGTCTTTTATGTAAGTACATTTGATGTTTTTTTTTTCTGTAGGGCAGCTTGACTCTTTATGCGAATCAGTTCCATGGTGTCCGTTTTAGTCTGGTTGGACATGCTTCGCTTCTCAGTTGAATAAAAACAATTTCTGCCCAGCAGAGAATTTTTCAAAAGGCTACAGTTATTGTTACAGTTAAAAGGTTTTAGTTATTGTCTTTAGAAAACAATTAGTTCTGCAGACCTAGTGCAGCAGGCAGAACTTGAAATGTTTCTGTGTAAAGCTCTGACCAGTTACGATATCTACTGCTTGTTCATGGGAGGCTTTCTGTTCAGAGGACTGACTTATTATTTATAGAGCGGCTTCAACACAAAGTGCTAACAAACAGTGAAAGAGCAATCTGTCTTTTTCTGCTCCTTGACAGTATGGGGCACAGAAATACAGACATTTTTGGCGAGGTACACAATACTGGTTTGTCACATGATTATGATAATTGACAGTAATTGCTAGAAGGGATGTGCTTAACTCCCATCCACACCATTGTGACTGTGGCAGTCAGACTATTTCTACATGTGGATGGCATTATGTCAAATGGCAGTGGATAAAAAATTATCACTATACTTAAGGATTTTGCCCTAAATTTATCAAAAAAAACGGAATGTTTTAAGCCTTGTATCAAGTCTTTACATTTATCAGGTATTTATTAGGTATGGTTTATTAGGTATGAAGCTATTCATTTATTTATTCATGTTTGTTAAACATACTAATTACAATTACTTAGCTTCTTACTCCTTTATGCTGCTGTAACTTTTTCTGATGAATCATATAATGGCAAAGAGTGACCTATTGGTAGTCAGGGAGACAGGTATAATTTAGTCATTAATGTGCACAAAGTGATCTACTTAGCTAGTTTTCTTTTATTGCCATATTTCATATATTTCCACCAAGGTCAAGATATTTTTTTTTTTAAGGGCTACCATGCAGGGACATAACTAACTGAACAATTTTCTTCTTTCAGGTTTCCGATAAATGTGACTTAGTGTTTGTCAATGGCAAAGAAATGAAAAGTAAAGTGGATACCATTGTAAACTTTACATACCAGCACATCACCACCCAGCTGGAGGTTACAGTGTGGGCTCCGCGCCTTCCATTGCAAATAGAAATATCGGACACTGAGCTGAGCCAGATTAAAGGCTGGAGGATTCCAGTCTCTGTTAATAAAAGGTAAGAGCGGACCCAGATCTAATGATCAGAACACATAACTAGATTACAAAATAAAGGCCAGCTATACAGTACATAGCAATAGACATGTGTATTGGCAAAACATTTGTTTAGTTTTGTTTAGTTTTGATTCAGATTTTGTGTTATTTAATTTTTCGGGATTCGGGTGTGAAAGTCAATTCGGATTCGGAATTTTGGATTCGGACGAAATTCGTTAGCGGTAGTTCAATCCAACTTTCGTTTTGTTTTAGTTTCTTATTCGTTTCGTACGTACGTTGCAGCAAAGTGACATTTGAGGGAAAAAAATGTTTTTCTCCTTCTCTAATGCCACTTTGCTGCAACGAACGAACGAAACGAATAAGAAATGAATGTTCGAACAAACTATCGCTAATGATTTTCGGAAACGGAATTTTGGATTCGTTTGGATTCGTTATATCTGTAATTCGAAATTCGTCCGAATCGCACATGTCTACATAGCACTGACGTATAGGTATTTGATGGTTTCTAGCTAGCAGAACCACAAACTGGTTTCTGTATCTCTTCTGTGTTCTTTATGAATGAGCAAAGTGAGTGAGTTCAGTTCGCTGGACACTTGCCAAGCCCAGCGGGAATCCGTGAACCCAAAAATAGTGCCCAAATTCTATTGATGTCTAGAAGAGTTGAACCTTCTAAGTTTTTTGGGCCTTTTTCAAGGCCAGTTTGCAGGCTTTTCTTTAAAAAAGTAGCATTGGGAGCTGGGCACTGCCATAGAGGACAAGGCCCATGACAAAAAAAATAATTAAATATCATTCAGCAGGAAACGGGTCTAATAATGTGTCTTAAGAGCTAACATTAAAAATACACAATTCCTTTAAATAACATGTTTGGGGCATGCCTTTAAACTGAACCTGAAGTTGTGCACCTGTACGATGTACTTCTGCAAAAGTGACATTTAGAAGGAAAAAACATACTTATACCATTTAATGGCATTTTCTGACCGGCTTGTTCTGTTTGTGAAAAACAGTGGGGGGTCCTCCAAATATCCATACCCAACCCTAACCAGGCATGATTACACTTGCTGCACTCCCCCTTCTCCTAAACCATAACATACGAGAGCGCCAAATATCCTCCCTCCCCTGTTCGTGAATGAGTAAGGGGTGAATAGTACACCTTGATAAAAATATTTTTTAAACACAGACAATGTGAAAAAGTAGTTTATTAAATATAATACAATTTAAAAAAAATCCAGCGACGGACATGTAGTCCAGCGATACAGATCCAATATCAGTCATGATAAATTAAGCCATGCAGACAGGAGGACCCATGACACAATGATAATCTCCCACTGATACTCCCATCTCAAATGATAGTTCCTGGCACTGTTGGAATATCAACACAGCACTAGGGAACATAAATGATGTAATTGACCAAATATTGCCATGACCTTATTTGGTCATTGACAGCACCCGGGATCCCTTACAATGTGAAACTAGCTAGAAGGAAGCTGTAATTTAGCAGCGCTCGTTATACCACCACTAAATGAATGACAAAAGGAAAGGAACCTGCACATCAATCTTCAGGAAGTATACATATTAAAGCAGAACTCCGGGCAGAATTTTTATTAACCCTTGTAGTGGGGCTACCCAACACTGCAAGGGTTAACTGCTCAGTTTTGTCTAGATTTAAAAAAAGTTATACTCACATGATCCTCCCAGTTGGCTTGCACTTAGACCGGTCCATGGAGCCCCTCTCCCCCTCTGTTGCAACGGTCTAAGGTTTCCGTAAATCATCACGTTTTATACACAGTGTATAGACACGAGGATAGTGAGGAACATTCTAATGCTGCAGTATAGGAGGATAGAGAAGATTAGTCTGCTATAATCACCTGTAAAGCTGCATACAGGCTGGGAGAGGAAGAACCAGCACTAGCGGCCTGTTAGTGGGCTCCAGTGAACATGGCAACTAGAGGAGAGAAAAGAAGGAGCAGAATGAAAACGTTATCAGTTCTGCTGCTTCAGTGTCCAGCCAGCAGGCTGGGGTATGTTTTGATTTGGTGTTCTTAACCAAGAAAGAATCTGGCAATGTTTTTTAGCAGGTGAACCTTAATGCAGTAAACTCCCCATTATCCGGCATTCAAGCAACATATGTCCTCCATTTTTTTTTGCCGTTGGCTTGTTGCACAGTAAAAAATTACTGGTTGCTTGCTGCACGCTAAAAATGTTTTCTCTAAGGTCCACTTCTCTGCTCAGTGTGTGGATGAACTTCCCCTCTCTGGTCCGCTTCTCTGCTCAGTGTGTGGATGAACTTTCCCTCTCTGGTCCACTTCTCTGCTCAGTGTGTGGATGAACTTTCCCTCTCTGGTCCACTTCTCTGCTCAGTGTGTGGATGAACTTTCCCTCTCTGGTCCGCTTCTCTGCTTATTGTGTGGATGAACTTCCCCTCTGGTCCGCTTCTCTGCTCAGTGTGTGGATGAACTTCCCCTCTCTGGTCCGCTTCTCTGCTCAGTGTGTGGATGAACTTCCCCTCTCTGGTCCGCTTCTCTGCTCAGTGTGTGGATGAACTTTGCCTCTCTGGTCCGCTTCTCTGCTCAGTGTGTGGATGAACTTTCCCTCTCTGGTCCGCTTTTCTGCTTAGTGTGTGAATGAACTTCCCCTCTCTGGTCCGCTTCTCTGCTCAGTGTGTGGATGAACTTCCCCTCTCTGGTCCGCTTCTCTGCTCAGTGTGTGGATGAACTTTCCCTCTCTGGTCCGCTTCTCTTCTCAGTGTGTCGATGAACTTTCCTCTCTCTGGTCCGCTTCTCTGCTCAGTGTGTCGATTAACTTTCCCTCTCTGGTCTGCTTCTCTGCTCAGTGGGCAGGTGCAATAACCAGCCTCCTATTACCTATTGCAATTTGAAATAGCCAATAGCAGTCTGGATATTGCTCCCAGCAATTCACCTGCCGGGGAATCTAGCCAGCAGGTGAAAGGGGCCATTTGTGTGTGTGTGTGTGTGTGGGGGGGCTTGGGGGCACCACACGGGGGGCATTGCTGGGGAGTTACTATTTACTCTCAAGCAAGCAGGAACGACAGTTTTCCGGCATCTTCCGATCCCCGTGGGTGCAGGATAACTTGGAGTTTACTGTACCAAGATAATAGCATTACTCTAAAGCTTTATACAACAATAGCAACTGTGAGCCATGCATGAATACACATATTGCAAGACAGACCTCAACAATAAAAGTTTCACTAGCACATTTACACATACACATATACACTATATTGCCAAAAGTATTGGGACGCCTGCCTTTACACGCACATGAACTTTATTGGCATCTCAGTCTTAGTCCGTAGGATTCAATATTGAGTTAGCGCACCCTTTGCAGCTAAAACAGCTTCAACTCTTCTGGGAAGGCGTTCACAAGGTTTAAGAGTGTGTCTACGGAAATGTTTGTCCATTCTTCCAGAAGCGTATTTGTGATGTCAGGTACTGCTGTTGGACGAGAAGGCAGCCTCCGTTCTAATTCATCCCAAAGGTGTTCTATCGGGTTGAGGTCAGGACTCTGTGCAGGCCAGTCAAGTTCCTCCACCCCAAACTCGCTCATCCAAGTCTTTATGGACCTTTCTTTGTGCACCGGTGCGCAGTCATGTTGTAACAGGAAGGGGCCATCCCCAAACTGTTCCCACAAAGTTGGGAGCATGAAATTGTCCAAAATGTCTTGGTATGCTGATGCCTTAAGAGTTCCCTTCACTGGAACTAAGGGACCAAGCCCAACCCTTGAAAAACAACCGCACACCATAATCAAAAAACACAATGCAGTCAGGCAAGTGCCCATTTCCTGGCAACCGCCAAACCCAGACACATTCATTGGATTGCCAGACAGAGAAGCGTGATTCGTCACTCCAGAGAACACGTCTCCACTTCTCTAGAGTCCAGTGGTGGTGTGCTTTACACCACTTCATCCAACGCTTTGCATTGCACTTGGTGATGTAAGGCTTGGATGCAGCTGCTTGGCCATGGAAACACATTCCATGAAGCTCTCTATGCACTGTTGTTGTGCCAATCCGAAGGCCACACGAAGTTTGGAGGTCTGTAGCTATTGCCTCTGCAGACAGTTGGCGACTTCTGCGCACTGTGCGCTTCAGCATGCGCTCACCATGCTTTGTCATTTTACGTGGCCTACCACTTTGTGGCTGAGTTGCTGTTGTTCCCAGTTGCTTCCACTTTGTTATAATTCCACTAACAGTTGACCATGGAATATTTAGTAGCAAGGACATTTCCTGGGTGGACTTCTTGCACCGGTGGCTACCTATCACGGTACCACATTTGAATTCACTGAGCTCCTGAGAGCGACCCATTCTTTCACAAATGTTTGTAGAAGCAGTCTGCATGCCTAGGTGCTTGATTTTATACACTTGTGGCCATGGAGGTGATTGGAACACCTGAATCCAATGATTTGGAGGGGTGTCCCAATACTTTTGACAATATAGTGTATGTGTATCGTCTACTTTTTATTATTTATTGCCTTGTATTGTCTCTACACATGCAAGGAACCCATCAATATAATGGAGGTTCCATGGTTAGAACAATAAACAACACAGCATAAAAAAATGATGCTTAAACAAATAAACTTAAACAAGTCTGTGAGATGAAGCCACCACTAGAAACTGGGAAAATCTATGTTCCATTGAAGCTAGACAAAGGTCCTACTGCAACAGCCCCAGTACAAGCTTCTACAAAGTGCTCAATGTACATTCATTCACACACATATGTTATAAATTCAAATGCAAAATAAATAGCATTTATGAGAAACCCATGTTCTCCACAGTTTCCATAAACCAGTCACAAGTCTCCCTGTTGAGTCTGATAAATTTTCAGGGAAGCTCAAATGTGCAGTGAAATCTCTGAATTTACACATTTTTATGACATTTGGTTTAACCTCTGCTTAAGCATTTATATCACATGCTCAGTTTAATGTCTGGGTAAATTCCAACGTATGTGTGCATGTATTGTACCCCTGAGATCACAGCGAGATGGTACAGGGAAC